ACGCACGGTTCGATTTTATTTCAATAATTCGCTTGCGCGTAAGGGTCTTTAGTAGTGGGAAACCGGAGGACCCGGAGAAAACCCACTAGGTTTGGCAGGCGACCCTATTATACTTCTGGTCACGTACAACCGGGGAATAGAAACCACACCAGTTGACTCAATGATAGGTTTTATGATACAGCGCGCACGCGTTAACCATTTCCCGCCCCCCTCCCTTGGAAACACAGAGAAATTAGTAAAATGCACACATACTATAGTACAATAATATTATCTTTGAGTGGTATTTAGCAATTTACACACGTAATCAACACAAATTATAATGTGGAACACAATTACTATATTTTATTAATCAACGTGATGTTACATTGGCGATTCTTTCAACGTTACCCCTAAAAGAAATAATAAATAAATCAATAATAAAAATAATGACAACAGGGAACCACGCCGGAAAATCCCGATAAACTTTCTTAGCCAACGTAGGGGCCTCCAGTTTAACGAGCTAGCGTCTTACTCACTGATCCACCGTGGACCCTCCACTTTAAATGGACTTAGTACCCGTAACAGTTCGATTGGTATAACACTACATGGCTGTGAAGATAAGAGGCCTAAGTAACAACAACAATTGAATCTTTGGATACACGTATTATTATTTATTTCAGAGTTACGTTGGTATGTCAAGATATACAGCTGGTCATTCACTCTATTGCTATTCATGCATAAAATAAGTGGCGTAGCACAGTTTCCCTGCACTCGATGACCATGACAATTTTGAAGCTCCCACAGGGCTACTCGTAACTTCGATCTAGCAATAAAATGAAATATATGTATCGAATACATGTAGTGACCAAGCATTATTCTAATATTTGAGCAGAAATAGGTCATTTCGGGACTAACACATGGTTCAATTTTGTTTCAATAATTTGCTTGCGCGTAGGGGTCTTTAGAAGTGTGAGGAAACCGGAGAAAACCCGCGAGATTGGACAGGCGACCCCACTCCTTGTCACGTACAACCGGGGAATCGAAACCCCGCCAGTTGACTCAATGACAAACCTTATGATACAGCGCGCACGTACTAACCATTCGGCCATCCAAAGTGAATCTGAAAAAGGGAAGGGCATTATAATATCATTAATTGATTATAATAGTATTTTATTCAAGAGAAGAATAGTACTTATAATACATCATTTTACAAAATCATTAATTAACCGGTGTTATAATCCCAGATCCCACACGAAAGTGTTTCTACCCCCCCCCCCCGCCCCACCCCACTCTACCCCAATCTTTTACAACTTGCCAGGCCCAAGGATGAGAGTGTGTAGCCGGTATATTTCCCATAAATATTGGTGTCATAGAACCCCCGATGCCATACACTGGCTATCCATGTTATCGTTAGATTTTTAAATCTCGCGGGTGTTTAAATCCATTTAAATCTCGGCAATCCGATGATTATATGCTTGCCATGTGAATATATATCTAAATACTAATTTATATAAGATTTGAATCCAGACAAAAGACCTGCATTTTACACTGTCGAGGTTTCCGAGTAAGATAAATGAAAATTTTTGGGGGTTTTGTTTTTTTTTTTTCTTTTTTTTTTTTTTACAATAGGTGAAAACACAAGATCCTTTACTTTTCTGTGAAACTGGTTTTTGTTCATTTTAAGATTACACGTGGCTAATAAGAGAACGAAGAGGAACTTTTAAAAAAAACAGTAAAAAACGGGACCTACGAGATGTATTACCCTTCGTGAAGCACCAAAAACGTCAACATTTACGAACCAAAAAGTTATGACTTTTACTGTCGACTTGAAAAATATCAAACTTAGACTATTACCTGCGCTCGAATTAAAGCAACGGGCGGTTCTCTTTTAATTCCAAGTTACAAAATACAGTTTACAGTATCTATGGTACTACAGAAAGTAATATTTTAGACTAGATATTACTATATAAAACGTAATACTATTAAATATAATGAATTTTTAATTCAACCAAACAATCAATATTTATCAAATTATTTATGTTGTTAAAGATAATATTAAACAAATTATATGCCCCTTGTCTAAGGACTCCATTGCCTCTATCTTGTAAATACGTAAATAACCTATACACTCATATATGTCATGTAAATAAAGATCTGCTCTATTTTAATTTTTATATATATTATATTTTTTATAAAGAGAGAGAGAGAAAGAGAGAGAGAGAGAGAGAGAGGGTGGGGGGTAGCGTCCACTCGACACAAACTAACATACGGATCAATTTCAGCAGTGATAGGAAACCAGAGGACCCGGAGAAAACCCACGATGTTGGACAGGCGACCCTACCCCTTGTCAAGTTCAAGCGGAGAATCGAAACCACACCACTTGACTCAATGACAGATCTTGCAATAATCCACTTGGTGCATAATTCAAGAAGTTACAGTCTTTGGAATATAAACATATATTTTAAGTTTCATCAAAATCGGATAAGATTGTGACCTTTAGAGGGTCCACAACCTTGGTATTATTGTTTATACATTTGGATCATGACGTAACATTTAAAATTTTAATAACCAGAGCCCTTTTATGAAGGGTGTTTTACCGGTGTCCTCTTATTACCCAGATAAATCTAGAAATATCAGATATCATTATTTATACATAAAATGATTAGGCGTACGGACCTGAAATACCCGAAAAACTTTCGGGTTCATGCTATTCCAGCCCTTGAATACAGCAACTTCAAAGTGGTTCATTATAGCCTACCTTAGGTGAGTTACCGGAATCTCAAATCCCAAACAAGCAATCAATCGCCGCGGGGTATTTCTGCTATTCTAGCCCGTGAATTAAGCATGACTTCAAAGTTTCCAATCTGTTTGCAACTAAAATCCCGCTCTATGCCGACTTGAATTCCAACCATCCATATTCACAAATAATAATCGATGCCCGAAAAATGTCGCACAATGTAGAGTGGCTCCAGACAAAATGTTTTATAGCCAATTCAGTACAAATTCGTGATATTCAATTAAAAGAAAAGTAAAGTTTGTGTTTTATTAGATTTCAGACACTTTATTTTGCCAACTAGTTGAAATAATAATTTTTGTTTTCACTTTACCCGTCTGCCCAAAAAGGCAGATTGCCCCCCCCCCCCCTCCACCTCCCTCCGCCCCCTGGCTCTTACGCCTATTTGCCTAGAAAGAAAAAAAGAAGTAGAGCATTTGAAAAGTATATATTACGACAGTGAGGGTTTTGTGCCAGTTCATGGGTGTACGTGCTAAGTGTAGGTTTTTATAAGCTAAAAAGCAAACAGGTAGGTTATTTCTTGTTATAACTTTGACGCATCATCATTAATCTATTCAGTCGATCAGCATACTATGAATCGACCAGCATGCGTCATTGTTGTCTATTTTTTACTCTCTGTTGTACTATTTCAATTTGGGCCAATTATGTCATCGGCCTATCCGTTGTGAACGCAATAGGAGCTTTAGTTTCAAGAGAGAGAGAGACAGAGAGAGAGAGAGAGAGAGACTAATACATGGTTCAATTTTGTTTCAATAATTTGCTTGCGCCTAGGGTTCCTTAGCAGTGGGAGGAAACCAGAGAAAAAACCCACGAGATTGGACAGACGATCCTACTCCTTGTCACGTACAACCGGGGAATCGAAACCCTGGCAGTTGACTCAATAACAGACCTTATGATACAGCGGCACGTGTTAATCATTCAGCCATCCAACCCCACCAAGTGTGAAGAATGAATCCTATCGACCATTAGTTCTGTAGTTATGGTCCCTTTTCCGAAAACATTGTGAACAGTGCATATAATATTGGCCAGTTTTTAATGGCCTTTTCTCTGTTTTGTCTTAAGCAGTATGCCCATGTGATGAATAACCCTATTGATTTTCAAATTTGGTGTGAAGCACCGGATCAAAGAGGATGAATCCTGTTGATTTTCAGCACTCTAGGACTTCCTGTTATAGAGATATAATATTATGTGTCTGTAAAAACCATGTCATATGGTTTAATTTTATTTCAATAACTTGTTTGTGCTTAAGGGTCTTTAGCAGTGGGAGGAAACCGGGGGATCTACAGAAAACCCATGTCGTGTACCATCAGGGAATCGAATCCACGCCATTTGACTCAATGACAGACCTTATGATCTAAAGCACACGCGTTAAACCATTCAGCCACCCAGGGCAAAATAATGCACCTGACTGGACAAATTCATTCTCTAACCCATGGGTATCAAACATGCAGGCCGCGGCCCAGATCCGACCCACCAAAGGTTTATATGTGGCCCGTGGAACAAATTTCAACAAACTGATGTGTCAATAACTTTTAGAAACTAGCAGTGGTAAATCATTTATTAATAATTTCCGGTTTCAGTAAAACTCTGATTTCTGTACTGTATGTCATAGATATTTGAATTGGCTAATTTGGTCCATTTCAAAGTATTATATTGCATCATAATTTTTAAGATTTTTGTCAAATAAATCAATAAAATTTTCTTTATCTTGATATTTCTGTATATCTCTGGCCCACCTGGTACATGTGGCTCCTAAATTGAAATGAGTTTGACACACCTGCTCTAGCCCATATCTGGTATATAATCATAATGGGGTAATAATTTAAGAAATAAAATGAAATGAAATGGGGTTTAACTTGTACGTCCTACTGTTTTGATCCGAACTGGGCTAAGGAAGACAAGCATACGCCATACAGTGTGCTATGAGGGAAATTTTGCCCGGACAGCGGCACTATGGCCTACTCTTGTATCGAATTCCAATTGTCAAGGGATCTTTTACGTGCACACCAATGACGTCAATGTGTACACGGGACCTTGTCAGACCCTCTTTCCCGCATCACCGACAAGGGGGAACCGTGCCGGAAAATTGGGATGAACTTTCTCGGCCAATGCAGGGATCGAACACCCGACCTCCAGGCTAGTGAGCTAGCGTCTTACCCACTTAGCCACCGTGACCCCCCTAATAATAAAGAACCAGAGGGGCTGAATCACAAAACAAAGAAACCAGTTAAAAATATAGGTTTTATTATCATTATCAAATTTTATACCAGAAACAATAATTGATGGAATGTTTACAAATTTAGCAATTTGAAATAATTTTCCAAATTGGTACAAGCCTGGAAATAGGGCACCTGTCACAGACAATGTCAGACACAGATTCAAACTTTGTCAGGCACAATTCCTCTGGTGTCTATCATTTTCTCTGGCACCGATTTGTCTTTTTTCTGTGCTTTTATTGATATCTTTAATATGCCTGACAGTTTATGTCCGGTACAACTAATATCATTATTGCCAGATTGGTTATCCGATCTAAAGCGGCAAATCAATCTGTGCCAAAATTGCAGCGGAATTCATTAGGCCAATTGAGTGGACACGCTAGGCGAATTCTTCTCCCAATTCACCATATGATTAACCATGGCAGCGTTAGTTTTTGTCCGGTACAACTAATATCATTATTTCCAGACCAGTTACCAAATATCATTCAATCTTACACAAAATAAATTTATATTTTTATATGTACAGTACTGCATAATATTCCTGAAGCAATAGTCAAGGCCAGATTTACCAATGGGCATGGATTTCTTCATGGTTTACATATGGCTGCCCTCAAATTGCATTGTGGGATTGTTTCCGTTGTTTACAATACTGAATCTTACAAAGTTGTGAAATACTTTGATACTAACGATTATCCAGTACCTACTTGATTATGCATTGTTTCGAGCAGAGTTGTTTTCCCAAGAAGACATGTACATATAGGTACTGGATAATCATTAGTATCAAAGAATTTTATGACCCGTAAATATCCAGAATTATAAACAACACAAAAAATCCCACAATGCAATTCATCGGCAGCCATACATGAACCATGAAGAAATCTATAGTAGGCCTTGGCATAGGATCCAATTGTATCTGAAGGCCCAATGAATCTAATTTCAGTATATTGGATAGGGAAACATGCCAACACTTGTATAAATTGATGGGCCCACTCCAGCTCTAGCCCACTGATAAGTTTGTCTTCGGACCCACAGGTAGTTAAATCCAGCCCTGGCAATGGTAACAACCATTTTGAGGGATAAATGGGGTTGGCCAACATACCCATACCTGACTAGTATTTTTTATCACATATTTTCATATTGCAACCAAATATTATATCTATAAAAGGTCCTACAGGTCTGTTGACAGCAAAACTGGAAAACTATCAGGAATAAAAAGACAAGTTACGAGAAGGTCGTTTAAAATCCAACAATCTTAAAAAGCCATAACAAATAAATTTTAAAAATGTTCAATTCACCAGTTTCTTTTAATTACTTCCACCCTCATATTTAATCAGAAACAACTAATTTTGAGTTTTAATAAGATATATGTTTATTTCTCCGACGCAATGGCTACTATTGTTGTTATGGAAACTTCTAACTGAGCCTTTTTCATATTTGTTCATTTTAGTTTGTCTGGTTTAAAACAACAACTAAAGAAAAGGTTATTTGATCAAGTATAAAAATGGGTAGAATTTCTCACAACCTATTTAAAAATTATAAATCTTAAAGGAATCTGAAGAACTGGGGCATAAAGGGTTAGAACGGCTTCTCTCTAGGAGTAGGACGTGAGGAATTCCTCAAATTTTGACATACCTTAAAGGAGAAGTTCCTGAATGTGAATGCTTCATGTTGTGTGACAAGTGTGATGTGTCCCAAATAGCACCAAAAGCGTGGATTTTCAGTATTGCACCATTGCTTCCCTATGTTTTTAGAAAGCAGTGGGACAAACTATCCATTTAATATTGCTTTAAAGGAGCTAAGTCGCTAATACTTGGGACCTAGAAATTGACACAAATGGGCCGCAACGCATACAATAATGTAATATGAATATATATAAAATGATTTACATTCAATCATTTCTGTTTTTGCTGTAATTTTTAATCAGTTAGGTTCGGCGATATACGCCAGTATTCTCAATCGAATTTCAATCTCTAGCGTCTGGTTATTCCAGTCTACGCCGATATTTTTTATTGGGCTTGCTCTCCAAATAAGAATATAGCGTCACCGTTTGACATGACTTGTGGAATATGCCTAGCCTCGTTTTTAGAGTCCCTTATTACAAATAGCGCAGAAATCAATTGTAAAATGTTTATTTTGTCTTTAATATTGGATATCAGAAGGCCATCTTTTCCCAGTAAGATCACAACATCAATGTTGATTTAAACCGACAAATAAATCGTGTTTTCAATGTCGAAGATTTTGGATGATATTGAGTTAGAGACTTAGCTACTTTAATGTCATTTCAGAAGCTGCCCACAAACACCTAACACTAAACCTAACCCTTGTTGGCTGTGTAATTAACGAAATGTTAGTTGTTGACAGATCCTAGGGTCTACTATTGCTGCTTTTTCATTATATGGTTTTCTGTAATGACTTTGTTGAAAGAAATATTTACCATCATTCAACTCTAAAGCACACCAAGACAGAACGCGCATCTGGAAACAAAGAAAGACATTTTAATATAATATATAATCAGGATGTATTAAACTCTTCTATCTACAGAAAATATAACTTCTATTGTTGTGGGTCTATGAATTTTACTTTTTTACTCTTTAGGACTAGAAAAACAATCCCACAAGTTTAAAAAAGATCTTTTAAAAACACTGATCCTGTATGGAGTTTACAATGGAGATGCACGATTGAACGTTTGGGAATTGAATTCTGTCAAACCCCAAAATAGTGACAATCGAGTGAAAATGGGAATTTGGTGCTAGAACACATGTGCCGACTGCACAAGAAAATATCTCAACCAACCATGACAGCTGAAACATATTCCTTCGGTCTAATTACGTCACGATTCTACTCACACCACCTCAATTGTCGGGGCTGACAAAACTGTGACAGGACTGAATTCCACGTCACACGATTGCAATTCCGTCAATTGGGAACGTTCTGGACTGACAATCGTACATCCCCAGAGTTTCAGTGACAGGTGCATTTCTCCATATTTTGATAGGGTTCCTATTTAGAATTAGCTGAACAACCAGAGCACGTTTAGAAAAACACCTCTTAAGAGAGAGAGAGAAATGGGGTTTAACGTCCACTCGACACAAACTAGGTCATTTCGGGACTAACACATGGTTTAATTTTATTTCAATAATTTGCTTGCGCGTAGAGGTCTTTAGCAGTGGGAGGAAACCGGAGGACCTGGAGAAAACCCACGAGGTTGGACAGGCGACCCTACTCCTTGCCACGTACAACCGGGGATTCGAAACCACGCCAGTTGACTCAATGACAGACTTTATGGTACAGCGCGCACGTGCTAACCATTCAGCCACCAACCCCCCTCACATATTAAGAACTCTGACAAGAAGAGTGTTTACAAGGTTTCAGTGTTCAGGGCAGTAGAATTGATTCTAGGGAATGTTTTCAAATTAAACCACGTGCATCCAACTTAACATGCATGCACCACCGCAAAAAATTCGCTTTGTGTGAAATAGTTTGCTTGCTGGCGGAATTATGGCCTAGACAATGGCATCTCCACCTACTTTATCATATTCTAACAGCCAAGAGTTCTTTTATGTGCAAAAAAAAAAATTATGTGCATAGTCATTCAGATGGAATGGAAAACCGAGGTCCTGTGTACACCTTGATAGTTGAAATTTGATGTAAGAGTTTGCAATAACTCCACGGTCCAGGCAAAATTTCTCTTATAGCACACTGTATGGCATTAGGATTTTAAATCCCATTTCATTGGCAGTGTGCTATGAGGGAATTTTGCCTGGATTGCGGTGCTACTTTTATATCTTTCAAGTGCACTCCAATGTGTACATGGCACCTCAAGTTTTTCGTCCCATCTGAACGACTAGACAGCTGTCCTTGTCAGGCCCTCCATCCTGCATCACTGGTGAGGAGAAACCAAAGCTGAAAATTTTGATGAACTTTCTCGACCAACAATGCCAGCACCTTACCCACTTAGCCACTGTGGCTCACGTTTCCTAAGGAAGATGTTATACTAACAATAAGTAATAGGTCTACCCTAGAAAAAATGTTGTGTACATGTAAATAATCTTTATCTTACCAGGATATAACATATCTGTATCATGAAGATATGATACAACCCATTCACATTCATCTTCATTACTAAACCTGCAATTTAAAGTTTGGACAATGTGTGACTCAATAAAAATAAAGATAGGTTGCCAGATAACAAAACATATCCTCACAGTAGTCTATAGAGGTTGTCCCAATGAGATTCTATTTCACTGTTGTAATTTGATAACACCTTTTTCCAGACATTAACATCCTAAACATGTATAAACCTTATTTAATAAATCTCAGAATGCGAGATATTTTCAAAGTGATCAAGTAATGAAATGTGGTTTAACCTCCCACTTTTCATCCTCGGTTACCCAGTGTACTCATTCCGTTCTACTCCACTATACCCGGGGTTAATCCATAGGGTTTCCACGATTTCAAATTATCTGCCCTGGCCTAGAATGTAGTTACAGTCTACGAACCAATCAGAAAACAGTTTACAAACCAATCGTTTTGCCTTCGTTTTTATAAGGGTAGATAACCATATTCATGTTTAATTACTGAATGATTTATGTAAATAATGTATATATTTATAATTTATTTATATTATGTGTTGTTGATTTCAAATATGTATAACATCTATATGTTTGACTTTTGTTATTATTATTACTATTCGTTCTTTGTCTGAAATATGTCATTCTGTTATGTTTATTATTATTGAACTTATACTTGACAATTTGATTCACAATAACTTGTCTACGATATCACGTGGACATAAATTCCCGGGAGCGAACGAACGATTCTAAATAAAACTAATGACCCTACATTATTAATGAACGTCTGGTCTTCATTAACATAATATATAATTGGTTGTTAATAATTACGCATTTAGAATAGGCCAACTCCTAACATTGTCCGATGAGAGTTACTTACCTTTGCCAACTTCCTTTTCAAATAACAATTTATGGGATTGGTCGATAAAAATAGCACAATCATCAAGGGCGGATAACTTGAAAACGTGTCTCCCCCATAGATTAACCCAGGGTATAGTGGAGTAGAACGGAATGAGTACACTGGGTAACCGAGGATGCCCACTTTTCTGCACCAACTGGGCTAATGAAGACAGGTAAACACTATGCACTGTGCTATAAGGGAAATTTCACCAGGACAGTGGCACTGTGGCCTTCTCTTAATTTTGAATTCCAACTGCTAAGGGCTCTTTTACCTGCACACCAATGTGTACACGTGACCTCAGTTTTTTTGTCCCATCCAATCGACTAGATAGACAGTATGCTATGAGGGAAATTTGATAGTACAGTGACACTATTGTCTACTCTTATTTCGAATTCCAACTGCTGAGGGTTCTTTTACGTACACACCAAACGACTAGACACATATCCTTGCCGGCCCTCTGTCCTGCACCACTGACAAATAAATAGGAGCTTTCTCGGTCAAAACCAGGAGTGAAACTGAGACCTGATTATCGAGAAAGTGCCATACACACTGAGCCACCGCAGATCCCAAAGTAATCAAGGCCAATAACTCTGAAAGTAATGACCGAGAATCTTTAATGATTAACAGATTTCCATGTCTTATGAACATATATGAATTCCAAGTCAATTGAATGATAACTTTAACTTAAAATGCAATCAAATACTTTTTCAACATGATCGATCAAGGGCAATAATTTTAAATATATATAGATTTCTTTGCCATCAAAACATTAACATATAACCTATAATCCCTTTGTTGGACATTAGATTTAAATAGGATAAACATTCAATCATTTTAAACCTTATTATTATTATGTAAATTTGTATTTAGAATCAGTTTAATTTTGATGATACTGACCTGTATCGCAAAGTATAATTATCCCCCTCTACATACACTTCGGAATCCATTACTTTACCAAAATTGTTCAATGTTTCTTCTAGGATATCGAGATCACCTGTTACAGGTACACCTTCCAACTGCACCACACAAGGTCCGGAAAGTTTCCAATTTTGCTCGGAACTAACTCTTCTCCTTAATTCAGAATCACAAAAAACATTTTCAGATGCCCTCAAACAGTTTTTATTTATATCTTTCCCTGAAATACTCATACCAAGAGGTTTGGTATAGACTGGTTTTGTTGCCGTTAGAATATCTGCTGTGGCACCAAGAGTATTTTTCACGGTTACTGCCATTTTTTTCCTCTTTTCTCTCCTCTTTCGTTTCACAGGTTGAAATTTAAGGCTATTATCTGTGTCTGCATTACTACTAAGCAAAGGGAAATCACTCACACTTTCATGGTTAAAGGTCTTTGGGGGTGGAGGTTTTACAAATGGACGTTTAGGTACTGGTATACAAATTGGTTTTTGATTAGTAGGAAGTATTTCTTCATTATCATCTGTTTCACTAAATTCACAATCACCAAACAGTGAACTTGTTTCTGAAGTAGTGTCCTGAAAGAAAAAAAATATAGATCAAAATTAAAAATCGTAAGCTCTATAAGATTAAATATTTGTTTTTAATAATTTGCTTGAACCATCTTAAGCAGTGGGTGCAAACCCCGGAGAACACAGAGAAACCCCATGTGGTTGGGCAGACAAGAGAGAGAAAAATGGGGTTTAACGTCCACTCGACATAAACTAGGTCATTTCAGGACTAAAACATGGTTCAATTTTATTTCAATAATTCACTTGCGAGTAGGGGTCTTTAGAAGTGGGAGGAAACAGGAGGACCCGGAGAAAACCCACGAGGTTGGACAGGCGACCCTACTCCTTGTCACTACAACCGGGGAATCCAAACCCTGCCAGTTGACTAAATGACAGACCGTACAGCACGCACGTGCTAACCATTCCGCCATCCAACCACCCGGGCAGGCAAGAACAAAACAAATCAATATATATTATAAAATTGACATATATTCTGTTGAGTCGAATCAATCTAGTCATTTTAAGTAGTAAATTCCACTTAAACACAATCTGATTAAAACAAAGATCCAATTTCGTTTCGTTTTTATAGTTCAAAATTTCGATTTTACTTGTCTTTACTACACTTGGATCTGGAAGCGTTGTTATTTAACTCGTGTTCTGCATGAAATGAGGGGTCAGCCAATCAAATGGTCTGTCGAATCAAGCGTTTGACTTTTTTTGCGCAGAACTGTGGGTAGACATTATCGACATTAGAAATCAAAACAAAGCAAAAGTAGATAAAAAATACATGGCGGTCGCTAATTGGTTAATCGAATGACTGACGTAATCGGGTCAAATGTCGCTTGCTTGGTACCTGATGTCATAGAACGTGAACTCCCACTATAACTTGTTAGATCTACATGTAGTGTAGGCCATCGAAAGTATAAAAAACGAAACGAAATATAGATCTATATTTTAATTAGATTGACTTAAACATGCATTATGCAAGAGCTAAATCTGCCTATTGCAGGTCTTTCTTTAGCCCTGAAATGTTATCTAAACTATTAATTAGACATTAATTAACCTATCCAGACCATAATCAACTCTATAGATGGCATCGCTAGCCTGTGATCTTATAGTGGATTATAAGCCGATTTACTGCATAACTTTACTTCACGATTTAACGTTTAAATGGATAATCGAGACTATGCTGTTTATCGTACGGACTTTAGTAATGATGATCAAGGCTAGCCGGAAATTTCAATTGCTTAGTTCTCGGTTCATAGTGGATCAATTTGAATGAAATTTTCAGCAAATTGCCTTTACATTATCTAGTCTTTAACTATTATAGTGAGAACTGCCAACTCGTTGTCGAATCTCCCATAATGTATCTTTAACAAAGTTAGTTTAAAATCAGATATAACAACAAGACTAGAGTCTAATTATAATGGGTTGTTGTTTTCATCTAGTTCAGCAAGCCCGAAAACAGTGATTTTAGTTGTGAGAGAGAGAAATGGGATTTAATTTTCACCAGACACAAACTAGGGCATTTTGAGACTATCATATTGTTAAATTTTATTTCAATAATTCCCTAGTATATCAGAGGTCTTTAGCTGTTGGAGAAAAACGAAGGACCCAGAGAAAATGCATGAAATGAGGTTTGATTTGATGTCCAACTGTTCTGCACCTGCCGGGCTACTACAGTGTGTTATGTGGGGAATTTTTGTTCTGACAGCTGTGCTACAGCCTACTTGTTACGACATCCATCCTACACCACAGACAAGGGACACTTTCTCGGGCCAACAATGGGACCTCCCGGTTATGGAGCTAGCATTTTACTCATTGAGCCACTGCGACTCTCCTGCGATTAAAAAACGTGTAGACGTAATTAATTACCCTCGTTGATAATGAGTCTATAGTTGAAGTATTATCTAAATCTTCTAAACACGTAATACTCTGGTTTCTAGTTTTTCCTACAAGATTAAAATGATCTTCTCTTTCTTCCAACATTCTGGCTCTTCCTCTGCCTTGTCTCTTTGGTAAAACTTTTAGACATGTCTCAACAGACATCTGGAAAAACAGCATTAACTATTTAGTATATTATTATGTTAAAAGAATCATACCAACATGAAACATTATTAAGATACATGAATTAATAAGATTTAAACAAAATGTTTTAAAATATATAACGAGGTAGAAACTGTATGAATTTTGCAAGATAGGATGGCAAGCAACGAAAAATACTCCCACCTCACTAAGTTGTCTGAACTGTAAATAAAGTTAGTTGCACTGTGAAATTTTAGGTACATACATGTACATTTTTAAATCTTTATGCATAATAATATCACTGCCCCATTGACTAGGCCCCAATTTCAAAGATCATTCTCAGGCTTAAGTTAAGAAATTACTCAACTTTCAATCACTTTTCATGAAAAATATCTTTGATTCATAAACACAAAAATTTGCACATACATGTAGTTTCTTATTGATGTATTTGATACATTAAAACAACAATTAATTAATTAATGTTTTATAAAGGGCTTTATTTTAGTTAAATTAAGGCGAACAATTTTGAGTAAAGTCATAACTTAAGTCTGAGAATGCTTTGTGAACTCAGGGCCAGAACTAACTAATAACTTAATTCAGGTCAATAACCTGAAGTTTTCAGAAATTGAAGTCATTCACTCATTGTTCTTCAAAACACAGAACGTAAATTTAAAGTAGATCAAATGATGAATTTCGCAGTTGTTCTTACCACCTAATGAACAATATCAGCAAATATTAAAACAAACCAACAAGAAATGTAGAGAGCAGAGCTTTCATTAAAAAGTTGGGCAACGATCAGTGGAGGCAGTTGACGATAATATACATGTACATTCACATTAGATGTGGACTTATAATAAGAATTCAAGATTTGTCTGAATGGTCTGCTACTTTCTGAGTAGGCCTATGTCACATACCCAATCCATTATATTTAAAGTACATTAGATTTAAAGGGATGTGACAGCTGATACAATAGGCCTATAGGGCCTCTGTACATTTGATTTAATTTCAAACTACACCTACAATTTCTTTTGTGAAGTCTCTGCTTTTAATGCCATGTGGCATGCGTGGAATGCCAACTTTTTGAAGGTCCATTCCACGACAATAACATACACTGGTAACAACATCATGATCTTCACTGTCAGTTTCTCTGTGTTCTGGGGTGTTTAGTGCAGAGAATATTTCAATGTATTCCTCGATTTTCGGTGGTGACCACTTCATTTTGATTTAATCTGTAATATATTACAACATTCTTTATAAGTATTCGTACAAATTAATAATCTAGAAGAAGAAAAAAATAATACAATGAATAACATGTCAAAGATGATAATCTCACCCTTATATAATAAGTCCTGTCTCATACTTCTTTCTGTCCTATCATATAGCTAGTCCGAAATATCAGACCCTAAAAAGGGATCCCACCATTCATTGTAAATAATTCTCTGTGATATCACCTCGGTGGAAGCGTACATAAAATACAACTAACTCACACATTGTAAAAAATTGAGGTAATTAAGATATGAAATAAATGAAAAGGGGTTTAACATCCTACTGTTTTGCTCCGAACTGGGCTAATGAAGACGGGCATACGCCATGCAGTGTGCTATGAGGGAAATATTGCCTGGACAGCGGCATTACGGCCTACTCTTATATCGAATTCCAACTGCCAAGGGATCTTTTACGTGCACGCCAATGTGTACACAGAACCTCGGTTTTCCGTCTCATCCGAATGAATAGACACCTGTCTTTGTCAGACCCTCCATCCTGTATCACTGACAAGGGGGAACCACGTCGGAAAGAGGTAATTAAGAAAGGCAGATAAAGTAGATTTATAGTAAAGACGGTGTCATTACACAATGCTTTACTGGTGGTAATTAGGTTGTCAACATTGATTTGATTTTGCACTTTATTATTTTATTTCTGACATTCTTGATTCTAGTATCTACCATATCCTGATACTGAAATAATGCTTAAGAATATACAAACTGAGATATAGATTAGAACTAGAAGGTCCACTTTAAAGGGTATTGAAGACAGTCCTACTTAACTAAGCGAAATTTTAAGCCAGATTAAAGTGGTCTAGGGATTTTAATTATATAAAGCTTGGCTACTGGATCTTGACCGATCTGGAGAATATCTGTCAGCGTTTATATTATATATAGGATAGGCCTACCCAGAATTCTAACCCTCACAACCCTTCAGAATAGTTTTAGCCACAATCCACCGTTGTTACAGCTTCAATTTGTACGTTTGACATGTAATTTATAAACCTAACCCGAACCCTAACCCTGGAGAAAGATATTCTCCAGATGATACAAAGATCTAGTATTATTCGCCTGGGTATAATTTAGCATACTTTTCATTTTTTCCACCAAAAATGTCACGAACTCACGAGAGTTATGTCCCGTTTAAAGAAACATCAAACAAAATTGATGTCAAATGGATTTTGGTTGGTTGTTCAAATTTTTCTTATCCAATCAACTATCACATTACAATACATTTTTAAGGGATGCAACTCTATTTTAAACTGAAAGTAGATAATTGAAGGGGAAATTTTTGAGTGATCCTGAAAGTTTAAAATTTATTGAGAAATGTCGACACAAATGACTTTTCACGGGAAACGAACAGTGAAGCCACCAGACAAGGGAAGTTTTCCACTCGACCACGAAGGTACAGTCTTACGTCACATGTCCGAAAAATACTAGATAGAGTTTCGGAAAAATCTTTACCATTACTGTTATTATTATAATAACACATTGCCGTTTAGACGATTACTTTTCTGCACCTGTCCTGTGCTATGAGGGCCATTTTGCCCGGACAGCAGCGCTATAGCATAGGTTACTCTTATATCCTGCAGTACTGTCAAGGGGAAATACCGGAAAATAATACTGAGAAACTTTTCTCAGCACCGGGAGCGAACCCGAGACCTCCGGGTTAGGTAGCAAGCGGCTTAATCACTAAACAACTGCGGCTCTCTTGATAGGTGACACCTGGTATTATTTTGGACACAACTTCCACAGTATAAAAATCATAGAAAGATTTGAATTCTGATTAATGTAATCCGCTAACTATTGAAATATTGTTATTTCTTTTATCCGCAGGCGAATGCAAAGATTTTATGATAAAGTTTATGAAATGCTTACGAATAAATGGTCATGAAAACACCAAATGTCGTGAGGAGTCAAAAGATTATCTCCACTGTCGAATGGAAAGGTAACATTTAGTCCATTTATGAACTATATTATTAAATCAATAATTTACGGTTATGAAGATAATTATGACACAGCAATTTAGACCATTAACAAGTTCCAAGTTATTATTAAACAAGTTGACTTATTTAAACTCTGAGATCGTCAGCTTGAGGAGTGGTCTAACACATGCTCAAGTTTAGATCGTAGAGTATGACATTGAGTCAAGTTGTGCTGGTCTCTATCTCAAGCTAATATGTGACAAGGAGTAGCAGGGGCGTGTTCAGGAATTTGAGCAGCAGGGAGTCAAAAAAGAGAGAGAGAGAGAAATGGGGTTAACCGTCCACTCGACGACACAAACTAGGTCATTTCGGGACTAACATATGGTTTAATTTATTTACATAATTTGCTTGCGCGTAGGGGTCTTTAGCAGTGGGAGGAAACCGGAGTACCCGGAGAAAACCCACGAGGTTGGACAGGCGACCCTACTCCTTGCCACGTACAACTGGGGATTTGAAACCATGCCAGTCGACTCAATGACAGACTTTATGATACAGCGCGCGCACGCTAACCATTCAGCCATCCAACGCCCCCAGGGAGTCCAAGGTTTAACATCCACTCGACACAAACTCGGACTAACACATGGTTCAATTTTATTTCAATAATTCGCACGCGCATAGGTGTCTTTAGCAGTGGGAGGAAACTGGAGGACCCAGTGAAACCCCCCGAGGTTGGACAGGCGACCCTACTCCTTGTCACATACAACCTGGGAATTTCAATGACGGACCTTATGATACAGCGTGCACGTGATTACCATTAGGCCATCCACCCCCACCCCCCCCTGTCCAAGGTGGAGACAACATCAATTTTGGCATTAGGATGGGGGGAACTACCCACGAATTTGATCAAATCGGAAACTTTGAGACAATATTTCTGCTCAGTTAAATTCATACATTTATATGATTATAGTGGAGTTGCCTACCTAAGCAAGCGAATTATTGAAATAAAATTATGCCGTATATTATGTTAGTCCCAAAATGACCTATTTGTGTTGATTGAAAAATTTGTTTCTGTTTTTGCCTTCAAAGTTTAGGATTTTGGATCATTCTATTACACAAAAGAAGGTTACCATGCAATGAGACATAAGCTTATAACCAATTTGTCCAACCACAGTGTTGCTTATTGACTCTGCTTGAGGTTTTATATTAACCTTTCAAACTGCTTATTTACAACCTTAATATAACTGTTCAGTGGTAGCTAAAATGATTTTGTTGGTAAAATCGCAATGCACCAGGACCCATGTGTTGATCTCTTAGCATTTGCCATCCATGCCCCATGAGATGACATGACAGCTGTATCCTCAGGTCAGGGTTGACTCAGGAACAACACAGTTATGGAAATTGAGTGTGATCCTACATACAAACTGTAGGACTATCAATTATCACATATTGTCTAGTATCTGTAGGCAGCCTCATTCACAAAAACTTAAAATATTTGAGGTGGCTGAGAGTTTAAATTTGTTTAGGATTTTAACTCTCAATCAAAGAATATTTTAGTTTATGTGAATAAAGCCCCAGATTCTTACTAATATTAGATCAATGTTATAAGTGCAGATAAGATCTTCCAAAGAATACAATTTAAATATTCCACAGTTCGATCAATGTATTGTAATATTATCAATGCCTTTCAGGAATTTAATGGCAAAAGAAGACTTTAAGAAACTTGGGTATCATAATGAAGAAAAACAAACAGCGTAATAAATTAGACATTTAATGAAATATGCTGGTATAAAAGACATTTGTGTGCAGTTTTCAAGTTTCTTCCAAGGGTGATTCTTCATGCTCTTGTTAGAATACATATGACTGGATAATCTGATCAATATTTTCTTATCAGAGATACATTAGACTGGATATTCTGATCAACATGCTGCATATCAATTGCTGTTACCGGTAATATCAACAACTGTATCTCAGGTCGGCTAGTGAAAAATTCAAGTTAACAAAGCTGTGAACATGGGCTGTTTGAAACTTTTTAAAAGTTTACAAAACTGTGAAGCATGGATTTTCTGAAACATTTTAAGGGTGTCATTTGATATTTATTGTATTCACTGTATATAAATATGTAATGAATGAAATAAAAAAAAAACATTTTTGTAAAGATTATATGTTTTATTTCATTATAAATTAAAACCTAAAATTTTACTATCAGAGTACATATTTCTAAATTTCTAAGAGTCTGTATTTTGCCAGAATATAGTTTTGCGTATAAATGATATTGTATCTCTGGATATCGAGAAGCATTATGTAAGACTTAGATAAAGAGCTGGCCGTTCACAATTCACAACCATTGGATGGTCTAGAAAGATGATTATGGACTTGTCATGTGAATAAATGTCTAATTAATAATTTATATAAAATTTGAAGCCTGAAAAAAGACCCTAAATGTGCAGATTTCGCTTTTATATAAAGCATCTTTAAATATACATTATGCAAGTGCTAAATCTGCCTATTGCAGGTCTTTCTTCAGGCCTGAAATGAAATCTAAATTATTAATTTATCCAGACCGTAATCAACTCTCGATGTCATCGCTAGCCTGCGATGTTTATTGGATTAGGATCTGATTTGCTGCTCAACTTTCATTCATGATTTAATGATGAAATGGATAAACGAGACTGTTTTTTATCGTACCGATTTTAGTAATGATGATCGAGGCCTCTGCCCAAATTCAATCGCTAAATTCTCGGTTCAGAGATTATCAATTATCTAGTTTTTAACTATTATAGTGAGAACTACCAGCTCTTTATCTAATCTCTCATAATGTATCTTTAATAAGGCCCAGACAGTAGATGTTCTGTAACATTTAAGAAAATATGTCTAGAATCAAATCTAATAACAATAATTCAGGTATTTAAATAAAATCTTTACTCAGTTATCATAAATAAATTACAAAAATTGACAAAAAACTTAATAGCCAGTTAGCACCATATAATTAATGGACATATTATTATTGAGGAACTATTATTGCCTTCAATCGTATTAATCATTTATAGCAAAATAGAAATTCAGTATTTTAGGAACATATTATAATAAAATAATAATTAATAAATAGTGTTATATGTACATAAAATAGGTTAACAATAACAGAAAACAAACAGTTTAATACATCCAGATTTAATCCTCTTAGTTTGTCAGTGTGGAATAGAAGTTTTGTATCACAGGATAGAATGAATGGGGTTAAGTCCTACTGTTCTGCTCCGACTGGGCTAATAAAGATGTGCACACTAATAAAGATGTGCATACGCCATACAGTGTGTTAGTAGACTATTAGATTAGTTATTCGTCTTAAAACAAGTTTATGATAGGCATTAACTAATAGTAGACTATCAGACTAGTTATTCGGCTTCTCTTAAAACAAGTTTATGATAGGCATTAGCTAACAGTAGACTATTAGTATAATATTCTTGTTGTACATTTTCTGCTTTGTAATATAAAGTCCTGAATTCATTAGATATTTTACAATTTAAATGTTCTGACTTATTCTGAAACAGATCTTTAAGTAAATTGATACCACTGACACGCTCACCACCGATGATTAACCCATAATAATTTCCTATATCATTCGGTTTACTCGTAACCATATTCTTATTAAAAGACATACTGAGTACCGTCAACAACATGGCTTCCAAAACACGGAAATTAAGAGCAAACGGCACAACCTTTAAATTTGAGATTCGGAACAGTTTATTCTCCATAACAAAGACGTCTCCATCTGACATTGTCTGTGTTATTTCTTGCAACTGTAAAGAAAAAATGAATTTGTAACAGAGAGTTGATTTTAAGATAACATAATAGAGAATATAAATCAACACTTTCCCCACTCCATCTTTTATCCCACACATTTAAAGGGGCATTATGGGAGATTAGATAAAGAGTTGACAGTTCTTGCTACAATAGTTTAAAATAGATAACGTAAAGAGAATATGCTGAAAATTTCAGTCAAATTGCTCAACTCTGAACCGAGATATTAGCTTTTAAATTTTACACTAGTCTCAATTATCATTACGAAAGTCGGTACGATAAAAAAAAAGTCTTGATTATCCATTTTTACGTTTATTTTTTTTTTCAAAAAATGTATTTCAATCCGCTAAATATCGCAGGCAAGTGATGATATCAAGAGTTGATTATGGTCTGGATAAGTTAATTAATGTCTAATTAATAATTTAGATAACATTTCAGGCCTAAAGAAAGACCTGAAATAGGCAGATTTAGCTCTTGCATAGTATATTTAACTTTCACAATAGTTTGGTTTTTATAAAGTTCTGCCCCATGCTAACGTTTTGTATGCAAAGCTTTTAATATCATGGATTTAACTGTTTAAGTCATAAAAATTCATTGAAAATCAATATGCTTGTTCGTCTCAAGATCTTAAACTCTGTGTATCAATCTGAAGTCAATCGGATTATAACTTTAGCCTTTAGAGTATCACAAGATTTTGCAAAGTGATCAAGGGCCATAACTTTGGCAGTAATTATCGGAAATCGTTGAAAATCAATAGGAATCTTCGTCTCATGACCTCAAACACTGTGTATAAATTTAAATTCAATCGGATATTAACTTTAGCCTCTAGAGCATCCACAAGATTCTTTGAAGTGATCAAGGGCCATAACTCTGGCATAATTATCGGAAATCACTGAAAATCAATAGGCTTCTTCGTCTCATGACCTTAAACACTGTGTATAAATTGAAAGTCAATCGGATATTAACTTTGGCCTTTAGAGCATCCACAAGATTTTTTGAAGTGATCAAGGGCCATAACTCTGGCAGTAATTATCGAAAATTGTTGAAAATCAATAGGCTTCTTCGTCTCATGACTTCAAACACTGTGTATAAATTTAAGGTCAATTGGATATTAACTTTGGCCTCTAGAGCGTCCACAAGATTTTTCAAAGTGATCAAGGGCCATAACTCTGGCAGTAATTATCGGAAATCGCTGAAAATCAATAGGCTTCTTCGTCTCAAGACCTTAAACACTGTGTATAAATTTAAAGTCAATCAGATATTAACTTTAGCCTCTAGAGCGTCCACAAGCAATTGTAGACGGACGGGGGCGACGACAATATACGACCACATTTCAATGTGGACGTATAAAAACTGATCACTGTATTTTTCGGTGTATTAGGCGCACTTTTTTTTTACCAAACATTTTATTTTCTAGAAGGGGTAAGCCTAATATATAATGTTAAGCAAATCAAGGCTTTTCCTAATTAACTTAATAATGAATAAATTCTATATGCTTATTTTATTTTAAAAAATATTACCTTTTCCAAAACTGCAGCATGATTAAATTTTTGATAACCACTGTGATGTATTAAGGCATGTGACCAGTCATGTAAAACAAGATCTCTGTCTATCTTTGCCCATGTAATACGATCTAACTGTAGATCTATTGCAATTACAGTATTTATTTTCTGAAAAAAATAAATATTAATTGAAATATACATATAGGTGGCATCATGTTCCTGAAACGAATGCATGACCACTCGGACCAAAGACCACTCGGACCAAGACCAGTCGGACCAATTGATAGACCACTCGGACCAAACAAAAAGACTACTCGGACCATACAAAAAGACTACTCGGACCAAACAAAAAGACCACTCGGACCAATAATAAAGTTTTGTTTTAAAAGTTTGTTTTAATATGACTACTCAGATCGCTAATAAATTGTTGTTTTAATAAATTGTGTTTGTTTTAATATGTACTTACCCGTGGTATTTGGTCATAATGAAGCACATCAAAGAAGATTAATTAACAAAACAACGATAAATGAGTAGTGTTGATAATGTACTCACCCATGTTACAAGGTAATAAAGTAGATGAAGCACATGAAAGAAAATTGGTTCATTTTTAATTGGTGTGATTGGAGTAATGTCCAAGCGCTTAAATTGTATATAAACATTTTTGTCTACGATATCACCTTAGGTGGAAGTGGACATTAAACCCCAGAAACCAACCATATTTCATTATCATTTGTCAAAATGTCTGATACGTGTATAGTTTGTGATTCTTTAGTTCGACTTCGACCAAGGCAGGAGGCTGTACTGTGTGACGGGTGTGAAAGATGGCAGCACAGAACCTGTAATACTGGTATGTACATTTAATTGCTTACAAATCTAGACAATGTAATCGCCGTTGAAGACATTAGATTTTTACCATATAATTTTGTATTTTATATAATTCATATAATTTTTGTAGGTTTTCCAGGCAATCTTAGAGCTGTTACCTACTGAACCAGCTGTAAAATCGTTTGTTGTCGACTTTGAGGCGGGGTTATGGCAGGCGCTAAGATCCGTTTTCGATAATCCTGCAATTCAAGGTTGTGCATTTCACTGGGGACAGGCCGTATGGCGAAAGGTGCAGGAAAATGGTCTTCAGGTAAGTTTTTTTAGAAAGCTCCTTGCCTTGCCATTTTTGCCATCAGAGCATATTTTGCCGGCGTTTACAAAACTGGAGGAAAAGGCCGACAACGAACAAATTAGATCCGTTTTAAATTACGTGAAAGACACTTGGATAGTAAATACTGTGTGGCCAATTTCGTCGTGGTGTGTGTTCGGCCTTACCATCAGGACCAACAACGATGTCGAAGGGTGGCATAACCGTATCAACCAGAAAGCAAAAAAAGGAAATCTACAATTTTATTTGTTGATAAATCTACTTTACAAAGAAGCCAGCCAACTGCCTCAACAGATGAAAATGATATCAGAAGGGAAATAAAAAAGACACCAAAAAAACGGACCCGTTCAATACAGGGAAAACTTTTTGCTATTTGGAAACTTTACCACGAAGAAGCAATCAGCACAAGCCAACTATTAAAGAAATGTGGGTTAATTTACGGTCCAAGCGAATAGGTCACTAGACATATCACAGTCATATCAAAAACTAAAAAAAAAAAAAGAAAGTTTTTTAATAAATTGTTGATGTAATAAATATGAATATGCTACTTACCTGTACCATATATGTCACGTGCATATTAAAAATAAAAAATTATTTTATAAATTGTTGATGTAATAAATATGAATATTTGCTCTTATGTAAGGAAGGGAAGGATGACATTTTTAAATTATGTATAGATTCACCTATAAATTATTCGCTTCTTTGTATTGTTTTTTTTAAATAAAAAATATTTATTTAATGTAAAAATCTGTATTTTATTTCTTAAGTGAATAAGGGTTGGTCCGAGTGGTCTTCCAACATAAATTGACTGGTCCGAGGGGCAACATAAATATTGGTCCGAGTGGTCTTCCAACATAAATTGACTGGTCCGAGGGGCAACATAAATATTGGTCCGAGTGGTCTTCCAACATACATTGACTGGTCCGAGGGGCAACATAAATATTGGTCCGAGTGGTCTTTTGGGTTGGTCCGAGTGGTCCGGGTACCCCTGAAACAATAACCATGAGTTTTCCAACATCTACGGCGTTAAAGCGAGATCAAGCCTTCTACTGAAGATGAGGTGGCATTGACTTTTGACCATATCTCGCTTACATGTATGTGTTATGAAGAGGATGCTGGCTCACTAACCTGGAGGTCGAGTATTCGATCCCAGTGTTGGCCGAAAAAGTTCATCAGGATTTTCCAGCATGCTTCCTCGTCACTGGTGCAGGACGAAGGGCCTTGTAAAAGTACCTTTGTTAGAATTTGATATAAGAGTAGGCCGTAGCACCACTCTAACTTGTAGCAAGATTTAACTCATAACACACTGAATGGCGTATGCCTGTCTTTTCTTTTCATTTATTTTCTTGTACACACATCTAAAATTAAATGGCTCCTGACCTTGTGAATGACTTTTGAGTTAATATTTAAACTTTTGTTGTAGCTCGAGAGAGTGTAAGTAACTACAATCTGAAAGGCTGTTGATATATTATATAAAAGTATTATTAATGTCTCTTACCATAAGTTCTTCAGATGACAATTTGGGATTAAATAAGGTATTTCGAGATTTCTTAATGCCAATGTCATTTTTTTCTTGGGCTAAAACCTCTGGCGATTTGATGATAAAGTCACAGTATTTCTCTAAAACAAGTGGTCCAATGCCACTAATATTTAATACATCACTTATACTGTTAAACTGACCATTTGTTGATCTATACTGTTGAATGGCTACAGCTCTTTGCATTAACATAACACGAGGAACAAAAAGTTCATTAGCTGTACTCTGATTTAAATGTTGTAATATCTTTTGACGTTGTTCTTCATTATATTTACTGTTTAAACTTTCACCTCTTTTCGTAGAATATCTTTTACATCTAACCTGTAATTATCAGTTCAAATATGATTAGTTAATATTTTTTTTTTTTTTTTGACTATACTATGACTGACCGTAAAATGAAATGGACTGACCATACATATGAAAATAGTGTTGGATTATTATAAATTTGTGTCAGATGTGGCAAGAAATGATTCCTTTTGTCGAACAAAGAAGAAAAATAGTGAAAAATAGACGGTAAGGATTCCAAATTAGCCTTAGAACTGAGATGGGGGAAAAGCCTTATTTTCATATAAGTTGTCATTTAGGACACACCAGTAACGAAGATAGAGCACTGTGGGTCTCTATGACTTCCTTAGGCCTACTAAAAAAGTAACTAGCACTAGCTAGTAGGCCTATAGCTAATTTTATAATTGCATATTTTATTTACTGCACTATTTAATCTAGATAACAAACCTTAATCTCTCAACCCTCCGTGTTTCGAGATAAGAGATGATGCTAGTTATTACCTTCAGTGTAGCACATGCAGGAGCGATTCGCACCCGGCATTTGTAAACAAAATTGACAATATTTTTAATCAAAACAACGATTGGTTATTGTTATTTATAATATTTCTGCCACACCCAACTACAATTAAGCATATAATTCTACCCTAAACGGGTACAAATTCCTTCTTTTTAAATCAAAGTGACAGTAGATTGCTTTTTCCGACATTTTAAATTTATGTCTGTAACACATAAAGACGGGGCCTCGTGTGCAATAGCCAATCAAAGTACCCATCAGAGTTGCGCAGTAGTAATACGGCGTAATTATGAACGTCCAAATCAATTTTGATAAAAACAACGCTTGATTTACTTTATTGTCAATATTTGCTGATAAATGAATGTTGTTTCAGTAGATTGGACTGCGTATGTACAATAAGTACTAATAGTATAAAATTAACTTATTTTTAAGATGGTACATACATTAATAAAGAAATGGAGTTTGCCACTTGGAACTAAAGGCATCCAATCGTAGCTAAAAACAAGCACATCAGTATATCTTAGCGTTTTTAGTTACGTTCTCGTAGCTATATTTAATCCACCCCAGATTGAGTTTTTTTTTTTTTAATGCTAGTCGGCGCAGTACGTTGATCCGGCTACTTAGGGTTAGTAGTGGAAGTCAAAAGTAGCCGGGTCAACGTACTAGGCCCGCTAGTCTATACTGATCTATTAGAAACTAGGAAACGCGTCAGCTATTTTAGAAACAATCGTGTATTTGGTCTGTTCTCAGGTAAATTGCAAAACCGAAAGTAACATGATGAACCCACACACTTGTGACTTGACACTGAAGTTGCTTTCCAATGTAGTCAAGCTAGAAATAATAAACTTACATGCTTTAAAGGGTATGACGTGTTAATGGAAAGGTGAAAATGTCTGAACAATTTGGAACTTCTCTGTAGCAACTCCATAACAAATAATTATTAATTATTTCCGTGTGCACAAACAAAACTCTACCGGCTTCTGTTTTCATTCTAGTTGTACCACTTTTTCCTTAGTGGAAGAAGAGTAGAGGCTAAAATTGGAGTTACCTCCCCTACACCGAAGTCCCCATAATCAATTTAAAAAAGAAAAAAAATTACCGAACTACAACACCTTCTTATTTGGATAAACAACAATTATATAGTAAAAAAAAAAATAAAAAAAATGTAAATACCAGTGCTCTTGGCAGCTTTGCATTGCCTAAATTTTTTTAATTGTTTTGTATTTGGGGGTTTAGCCCAGAAGGACGTTAAACCCCATTTAATTTTATTTTATTTGAAGTAAAGTCATACAAAAAAGACCTACACCAACCCAAAATAAAACAAAACAAATCCACACAATCAAAAATCTGAAAGCAAGCCGAATGAAAACCCGAAAGTAAGCCAAATGATCCCCAAGATACATATATTACACATACGTGTTCAAAACATTTGAAGCTAAACTAAAGATAGGCCTATGCATTAGGCACATTTAGCTCTTATATTATGTGCATTGCCAAATTGTAGGTGTTGATTAATAATTAGTTCCTTTAGGAACGGTCTCTGATCGGACGCTGTCCTCTGACCGTTCCTGTCCGTTCCTGCACAGACCGCATGTTTTTTTAATCGCAAAATTCTACTTGAAAATAGTGTTGGATTATTTTAAATTTGTGTCAGATGTGGCGAGAAATGGTTCCTTTTGGCGAAAACAAAAAGAATCACGGTTAAAAATAGAAGATGGGGGATTTCAAAATAGCCTTAGCCAGAGGTAGGGAAGAGCGGTATTTTCATGTTGCGGCTTAATTATTAGGAACGAATAGGTAGGTCAGAGGACAGCGTCCATCCAGAGACTGATTGATAATAACCTTTATCTAAGATAAAAAGCTTTATCTTTACTTTCAGATAACTCCAAATTCCACATATAGCCCAACTGATGTGTGAATTCAGCACATATGGCATTGTTGAAAACGCTTGAGTATTATCTTTATTAAGTGTTGTTGTTCTGATTTGGGAAAAGATAACACGTCTTCCAACATAGTACCTTTGCTACCACGCTGTTATGGCTTGTACAGCATTGGCCAGTATCTTCCTTACTCTGTATATCAGCAGTATTTATGCCGATTTCCCTTTTCGTAATGTATCGTTGTCGTGGGAAGAACGTGCAGACGATTTGGTGAACAGGTTAACACTAGAGGAAATACAGGATCAATTAGCTAAAGGTACAGACGCATCACCTTCCATTCCTAGACTAGGTATAGGTCATTATGTCTGGTGGAGTAACTGTGGGAGAGGCGATGTTAGAGCAGGTAATGCCACTGCCTTTCCAGAATCTATTGGTCTAGCAGCAGCGTTCAGGTAGGTGCACGTATGTCTAGAATTCATTTGTATACAAAGATTATTGCTTTCAGAGATACAAACAACACACTAGATAGAAAAACATCTACCGAATTACGAACAATAATAAAAAATATAATTACCAGGTTTTTTTATTGTTTGGGTTGCTTTTCATGTGGTGGACCAGTCAATGTAACTAAGATATTAAGACACAGACAAGCAAACTGGAGTGATAAAGTAATATATATCAAATTATGAGATCCCTAAAATTCATAGTTACACCCGGGATCAGACAGAAAAGCTAAAGGGTGGTATACTGTAAAGAAAAAAGAAAACTGGGATGAGTTGTGGCAGAGTTAGTCAAGAAAAGGTTGTTTCATAATCTTTTGACCATCCTCTTCGGAAATCATTACCTCCATTGTAAACACAGAAGTTGTATGAAATGTAGGTAATGCTGTAATGACGGATTTAGTGCTCTTCAGCTTATTAACACCCTTACAGACCTCGATCCCTCCCTAGTAACAGTAACTATTCTTTATTCCACAATGATTTGAAACACCCGGTTTCCTGGTGTGGGCCCAATTATATTGCCGTGTTAACACGCGTAACATAAAAGTAGTGTATGTGAGATTATTTTTTTGGGAGTCCTGTGGCCGAATGGTTAACGAGTACGCGATGTATCAGAAGGCCTGTCATGGAGTCAAATGACGTGGTTTGATTCCCCGCATGTACGTGACAAGGAGTGATGTCGCCTGTCCAGCCTCGTAGGTATTATTGAAATAAAATTGAACCATATGTTAGTCTCTCTTTCTTTTTTGTATTTAAGTCCAGATCTGATGTTTCAAATAGCAAGGGTTGGAGCATACGAGACACGAGCTAAGAATAACTTCTACATGAAAATAGGAAGCTACTTAAGACACCAGGGTTTGAGCTGTTTTAGTCCAAATATGGATGTCCTTAGAGATCCTCGTTGGGGACGAAATGAGGTAAAGTGGGTAGTCTTACAACCCCGCTTCTTTATTTGGAAATATGATAGAGAAGCGTGAGTAATTAATAAATTAACAAAACGTCTTGGAAACCGTACATAACACTGGTCTGTATATAAACTATGTAATTAAATCTATTCCTGTGTTTTCGGCCTTCGCTTGCAAATGACAAGTAGTAAGGTCTTCTGCTTGACGTCGTGGACTTCTCCGGTCCCTCCATTTTCCCCCAACTACTAAACACCAATGAGTGCAAACGAAATATTGATAACAATTTGTGACATTTTATTCTCATAATGACATAGTTTGTGTTAAGTGGAGTTTAGTCATATTTTTGTCTCTTTTATAAGACACAGCGCAACTAACAGCAACTGGTTTTTTTTGTCAGCACGATTAAGTGTTCTCCACAACAATTAATTTGTTGTTAGAAAAGATCTTCTAAAGAATATTTCGTTATTTCAAACAGAAACGAAAAACCCAAAAATCGCCAGTTGATGAAAGGACACTTAAACTATTGTTATTAAAGTGATGCTCCCTTTGCGATTAGAATACTAAAAACTTGTGCAATGTTTTAATTGAATTACAGGGAACTTGGGGTGAAGATCCCTATTTAGCTGGTGTATATGCCAGATGGTTTGTAAGGGGAATACAGGGAGATGAATCAGCAAGATATCTGATACTAAGTGCTAGCTGTAAACATTATGCAGCATCTGGTGGCCCAGATAGTTATCCTCTCAACAGAATGAGCTTTGATGCCAAGGTAGCGTAACAATTTATTGACGGATACTTTTCACACTTCGAGGCCTGACCTATAATTTAAGCATAATCAGATTAAATCCATAATGGACTCTCTCCCCAAAACACAAACCTGCATTTTCAATGCCAGTTAATTTTAGTTCAGGACTCATCACTCTTATCATGCAATTTACCAGTGCATCCATAATATACGACCTCCGAGATTGCACAGAACGGAATGCGATGATAAGTTTAAATTAGGCGACTGATAATATTGTAGTTTCTGGTAAACCACCGAGTTCACGATTTTGGATTCCAATAGATATTAAGGATCCACTGCTCATTGTTATGTTTTGTATTGTGCGTTTTTTTAAAAACAAAAATCACTCCAACTCCAATAAACAGGTATTATGCAAGGGTTAAACCTGCCTATTGCAGGTCTTTCTTTAGACCTTAAATGTTATATAAACTATTAATGAGACATTTGTTAACATGACAAGACCATAATCAACTCTCGGTGCAATCTGATCGGTACGATTTTCAACAGATTTTAATCCTATCTGCGGCTCAACTACTGTTGATGATTAACCGTAAAAATAGAATCGAGACGGTGTTTATTATCGTTACAACGTTAACAATGACAATCGAGGCTACAGTGTTTTTGGAATGAAGATTTCTCGATTCAGAGTGAAGTAATTTAACTGAAGTAAAACGAAATTTTAAACTGTGAAAAACAAAACGAAATAGGATCTGCGTTTTGATCAGATTGAATCTTCCATAATGCCGTTTTAAAGGTATGTAACAATGTAACATATACATGTATTTTAGACGTGTGTTTTTTAAAAAAAAAATTAGGTATCATTAAGAGATTTGAGGACGACCTTTTTACCTGGTTTTCGGGAATGTGTTAGAGGTGGAAGTTACAGCGTTTTATGTTCTTATAACAGGTAAATATGGTTCTTTATATTATAGTTGTCTAAAATATCGTTCATTATGTGAATGTCTAAAATATCGCTCTTTATATAAATGTCTAAAATAGCATTCATTATATGGATGTCTAAAAAATCATTCGTTATATAGATGTCTAGAATATCATTTAATTGTTGTATAAATGTCTAAAAAAATCATTCGTTATATAAAATTTAATGTCTAAAATATCGTTCTTTATATAGATGTCGTTATTAACCCAGTCGGAACAGAACAGCAAGACGTTAAAACCCGATTTCATTTAATTTCATGTTTTCCGTCTAATACAGAATAAATGGTATACCCGGTTGTGCTAACAACTTTACATTACAACAGATATTGAGGAAAGAATGGGGTTTTAATGGTTATGTAATAAGTGACGTGGGTGCTATGGAAGGAATGATAACTGGTCATCATTATTATAAAGATTTTGTGGAAGTAGCTGCTGCTGGGTTGAGCAGTGGTTGCAATATTAACGCCGCTCAAACGGACAACAGATCACAGAATGCTTATTATTCGGCCCGTAAGTATTTAATAAAATTTTATTGGCTAATATTCAAACATATGGTGGTAAAATCAGAACGAGTCAAATTTTTTAAGAAAAAGGTTCTGGTTTTATCTTCAGATCTTGTCTCAAAATATTTAATGTTTTAGAAACTTGATGGTAAACCGTATATATACTAAAACACAATGCTACTAGGCCAACCTAGGTCAACACTCCAAGACCTAATGGTTCGATAGAAAGAAATGTCAGTAGGACACGTTTTATATACAAGCAATCATCCAGAAACCATTAATCCTACTTATGGTCCAACTATTGTCAACTTGATATTAAACTTAAACTCCAAATGACGTTATTCCTTAAGGACATGGACTAAAAGCCTTTGACTTAAGGTCAGTCATTGAGTCCACTGGCATGGTTTCGATTCCCCGGTTGTATACGTGACAATTAAGGAGTAGGGTCGCTTGTCAAACCTCGTAGGTTTTCTCCGGGTCCTCCGGTTTCCTGCCACTGCAAAATACCCTTACGCTCAAGCGAATTATTGAAATAAAATTGAACGGATGTTAGTCCTGAAATGACCTAACTTATGTCGCGTGGACGTTAAACCCCATTTCTCCCCCCCCCCCCGTTTTAGCTGCAAATGCAACCCGTTGAAACGTCAAAGGTGTTAGGCACATATAAAACCGCAATTAGCATCATAGAAATCTATGAGGGCGTTTTCAGTCCAACAGATTTTCAGATACGTTTGAAAACCATGAAGGTGTTGGACGTAGGGTATTGTTTGGATACAAGGATACCTGTTACCCAGTTAACTATCACAAGATAGTATACCATCGAAAATATGAGACCATGACAATTTTAACAGCTATGTTACTAGAATCACAAATCCAGTATGTTTTTATTAGTTCAAGCAATTGAAGAAGGCAAGCTATCAGCATCTGTAATGCGCGAACTGAGTCGGCCATTGTGGTATACGAGATTAAGATTAGGTGAATTCGACCCTCCTTCTATGGTACCTTATAGACGTTTAGATCTGTCCATCATCCAGAGCCCAGAACACAGAGCTCTGTCTGTAGAAGCAGCTATGAAGACGTTTGTGTTATTGAAGAATCTCAACCAATCTCTCCCGTTAAAGAATACCAAATACAACAATATAGCTGTAAGTGATTAAAATGAAATACTATTATCATGCGCACGGTCTAGATGTTTACTATTTCCTAAGGGTGGGCGATTGATAATTAAGTGATCTGATTAAAACACGGATTCTATTTCGTTTCGTCTTTATAGTTCAAAATTTCGCTTTACTTGTCTTTACTACACTAGAATCCGGAACAGCTTTTATATAACCCACATTCTGTTCTGGTTGATGTGACTGGTTAGCCAATGAAGCGGACTGTTGTTTGGAGTTCTTGGGTATCCCACTAGAAACATCAAGGCTGATTGATTAATCACAGTCGCATTTCCCCTGACGCCCCCCCCCCCCCACTACAACCGATCAGATCTTCATGTAGTGGAGGCCATCGGAAGTATAAGAAAACGAAACGAAATATAGATCTGTGTTTAATCAGATTGGGTAAGTGGAATAGAGGGCCTCTCTTCATCTTAATCCGACACTGAATAACACTAGAATATTTTTCTTTAGATTGTTGGTCCAATGACAAATAATCCCGAAGCTCAAACTGGCAACTATTCACCGGACATTATGTTAGACTACACAACTACACCATTAGATGGGTTGAGTCAACTAGGAGATGATGTTAAGTCTACGCCAGGATGTCTCGGTGATAATAACTGTACCCAGTATGATCCTATAGCAGTGAAAGCCGTGGTAACAGATGTCGATATAGTCTTCGTATGTCTTGGACTTGGTAATGGTTTATCTCTTGTTCGTTTTTTTTATTACCAAAAAATAGGCCGACAACTCTGTCGTTAATTTAGATACACCGTGCAAAATGTTTATCGCAATGAAAAACGCGGAGTTGAATATAAAATACTCAGTTACAGTCGTAATGGGATTTGTATTCAGCGGTACTGTATACAGATAAATTCCGAAAAAAATCAGAACAGTATGGAAAAATACCGAAAAATACCCCAAAACCACCGAAAAAAAAACCCACAGAAAAATACCGAAAAAACGTTTTTATACTAATTACCGAAAAAAATCCGAACAACCCTAAATACCAAAAAAAAAACCAACACTAATTACCGAAAGAAAACCTAAATACTGAAATATTAGGGACTCCAATGGGTTCCCAGACTCCAAGCCTTTGCAGACCCCGTTTGAATTAGCTCATTTGGTCATGTAATTACCGAATACGTTTGTTATCACTGACTTTTCAGGGTAGAAAATACTTATTTTTAAAAAAATTTCGTGTTACCTGTAGAAAGAGGTAAAACAATGCAATACCGCAAATGGTTGTTATCCTTGAATTTTTAGTATAGAAAAAACTTACATTTAAAATAAGATTTCTTGTTAACTGTATCTGGTAGAAGGAGTTTAATGACACCTCCAGCTGTTATTATTTCTAGGTAACGATGTTGAAATGGAAGATAGAGATAGACAGAATATTTCTCTACCAGGACACCAGTTGGATATATTAAAAGATGTTGTTGCGAATAGTAGGTATATGTTAATATAATTTCAGTTAGAGCCATGTGCTATATTTGGGATCTCAGTGGTTAGAAACTGTGGGTCAAGGTTAAACACAACGTTCTTATGATGTACAAGACAAATGTTCAACATGGAACCCCTTTTAGCTTATTGCGCCTAAATCTATCTTATTATGTTAGTATCTAGTTTTAATAGTAGTCTTTCTTGGTCATTTTTAAATACATCATCTAACATAAACATACCCTGACTGTGAGCCTTGGGTGCACGTCAAGATGATCATAACGAGGCCCCGTAACTTCTAAGACCAATACAAGACAATGGAAAATTGTGGCATGTCAGAGATTTGATAGAGGTCATCAAACATGGATGGCTTTAACATTTATCAGTATACCGCTACACATCAGTGGTGAGAACTATATAACATATCTGCAATTAATTTCTGTTCTTGTAATCTAGGTCCGTTCAATGCTACAATCATGTTGATTGGCAATTATTTTCTGTGTTTGTAATCTAGGTCCGTTCAATGCTATAGCCATCATGTTGATTGGCAATTATTTTCTGAGTGTGTAATCTAGGTCCGTTCAATGCTACAATCATGTTGATTGGGAATTATTTTCTGTTTTTGTAATCTAGGTCCGCCCTCTGCTACCATCATACTGATTGGCAATTGTTTTCTGTTTGTGTAATCTAGGTCCGTCCAATGCTACCATCATATTGATTTTATTTAATGCTGGTGCCGTGGATATAAGATATGCTGTCAATGAACAGAGAGTGTCAGCTATACTAGAAGTCTTCTATCCATCACAAGCCACGGGAACTGCTCTCAGAAAGGTTCTAACTATGGACGGTCCTAACTCCGTACCTGCTGGTAGACTACCCTTTACATGGCCTGCAACAGATGATCAAGTATGACTTTTAATTTGCGTTTTTTGATTTTTAGCCCCTGTGATAAGTATTTGTAAATTTGTATTTTGGAGAGTGTCTGTCGGTGGCTTTTGGCCCTGAGGCTTGAATTCCACTCCCGAAATTCAAGGTCGAAAGATTCCAGAGCACATGATACCGCTTCTGATTTGCAACGATCCCATAGCTAGCACATTTTTGTAATGAGAACAGGGGCGGATCAAGAAGGGGGTGGTTCTAAGTCGTCTGTCAAGGCAGTATGCGTCTGCCGTGCCTGTCCTATAATGAACCACCCTTTTCAATTTTCACTAATAGTACACCTTTCTCTCCATTGCGCATTTCCTTTCCCGGTTGCAACCTTTCTTCCACTTCACCATTCTTTCCATTTCGCACCCACTCTTCCACCCCTCTTTCCATACTACACGCCTCTTTCCAATTCCCACTCTTCTTTTTTTCCACTTTGCACCCCTCTTTCAACTTCGCATCCCTCTGTTCATAATGCACCCCCTTTCCAATTCGCACCCTTCTTTTCATACTGCACCTCACTTTTCAATTCGAACCTTTTTTTTACAGAGATATCCCCACTTTCTATAGTAGACCAAATGGACGTTTAAAAATACGTTTCATTTGTTTTACCTGTTCCGCCGATTATAAACTATACAATCACCGGAAGAGTTTATCGTTATATATACTATATATTCGTTTGGTTGCGTTTTATCTGATACACAAGTTAGGGTACGCTTACTATTTTAGGGTTCAATCTATGTTTCATTTTGCGGAGGGACGATTTACCCAATACTACCGTATACTACCCAATACCACCCCACTATCACCACATACTACCCAGTTTTTTTATTACAGGTGCCGCCGATAATTAACTATACAATGGCAGAACGGGTTTATCGTTATGTAAACTATGAACCCCTATATCCGTTTGGTTACGTTTTATCATATACACGAGACAGCGTACGCTTAGGGTTAAATATATGTTTCATTTTGTATTACAGGTGCCGCCGATAATTAACTATACAATGGCAGGACGAGGTTATCGCTATATAAACTATGAACCCCTATATCCGTTTGGTTACGGTTTGTCTTACACTAGTTTTAACTACTCTAATCTACAACATAATAAAACACTGGAAGCTGGTAACAATCTACTAGGTACTGTTCATGTCACCAATACAGGATCCATTGATGCTGACGAGGTATTACTCTTATTAGTTCTTAATCAAATGCATTTACAATTTTAATTGGTAGGGAGAGATAAATGAGGTGTAACGTCCATTCGACACAAACTATGTCATTTTGGGACAAACTTATGGTTCAATTTTATTCAATAAATCGCTTGCGCGTATGGGTAAAAGGAGTAAACCGAGAAACAACAACACTTTTCACAATGAAAGACATTGTGATCTAAAGCGAATTCGGTAGACCATTCACCCCCCCCCCCCAGCACCCCCCCCCCCACACACACACACCAACACCACCTTTTACGATTTTAATTGAATAGACACCATTATTTCAATACTACCCTGGACTGAAAGTTCTGAAATTGGATTCTTTCAATTTTATGGAGAAGGGCAATGGACGAAACAGTGAGTCAAGAACTTGCCGAATAGACGAAATTGTTGTTGCGGGGGGGGGGGGGGTAGCCCAATGATTATCGCGTGTGCGTTGTATCATAAGGTCTGTCATTGAGTCAAGTGGCGTGGTTTCGATTCACCGCTTGTACTTGGCAAGGAGTGGGGTCGCCTGTCCAACCTCGTTGGTTTTCTCTGGGTACCTGGATTTCCTACCAGCGAATTAATGAAATAAAATTTAATCATATGTTAGTCCCGAAATTACCAAGTTTTTGTCGAGTGGACGTTAAACCCAATTTCTCCCTCTCCCAAAATACGAAGTTCAAACTATTTCACGCGGCTCTTCTGTATATGATAGCAGAACATTCGGACGTTAAACCTAATTTCAGTTCATCTGTATATGATATGTATTGGGTTTTTTTCAGGTTGTTCAAGTTTATATATCATGGATATCGCCATCAGTACCAACACAGCAACTGCAACTAGCTAATTTCACCCGTGTGTATATACCCTCTGGTAAAACTGTGATTATTACCTTTACTGTGCAAGCTGAGAGCATGGCAGTCTGGGTGGACGAGACTACAGGATGGGAAGTACAACAAGGTACGAACGTGAACATTGTGGAATCTTCCACATCTGTATTATCCATTGTATCAATTTTGCTTACGTTGCGTCGTCAGTTCCCTAGAACCGTTTCTGTTGTTAATCGTCCAGGTATATTAACTGACACGCTCAGTGTTTGACTCACCTATAGGCTTGGCAAATTGAAGCCTGGGACCTCGCGAACCAGGGGGGCCTCAGGCAATGGTCTGTAGGGCCTACTATTTGTGATACTGTCACAAACCTTAGTGCAACACACATCATCGCGCTCGGCGTTGCTCAGATGTGTTTAAAACACCATTTCATTTTCCTCTAGAGGCGGGTTGTGGATAGGGAGGGAGTCCTATGTGGAATAGCCTAGAGCCCTTCTTCATCTTCATCTGGACACGCTTGCTGATATGAATGTCAGCTTGTTCAAAGTGTACCTTTTGAAAACAGAACAGCTATGTTTATAACATAAAAATCTCAGCTTATGATGGATCTTTTGTGCAGGTCGTTAATGTTAGGCTACTTTTATGCTATGTGCTTTATTTTTTCTCGAAACAAAGCATTTTGATCTTAGCCTTGTAACATAATGTAATCGTTTTACTCAGTTGTCTGACTCCATATATAGGCCTATTTTGTATTAGAGTTACCTCCCATTACTTGCAATAAACATGGCTCCTTGAATAAGCTTTCTCTACATGCTCAGGCTTTATAATCTGAACCATCTACCTTACAAGATGAAACAAGCCTCGGTCTAGATTCTAGAAGAAGGTTAGACTACCTTTATAATTAACCCCACGTCAATGCAACTGGCAGTTCTCGAGGTATTCCATTTATTTTCGACGTGTTCATAATTTATCTCATATTGGAGTTCGGACACCTTGCTAGCGGAGGGATAAGTAAAGAGGGGTTATTTTCGCCAAGTAGTCCTATCAGATTGGGGAGCCATAGTGACTCAGTGAGTAAGACGTTGGCTCGCTTTCCTGTAGGTCGCGTTTTCGATTTCTGCGTTGACCGAAAAATTTCATCGGGATTTTTCCACCGTGGTTCCACCTTGTCAATGATTAAGGACGGAGGGCCTGACAAGTAACAACGTAAAGTCTTTCAGATGGGACGAAAATGTCCCATGTACATATTGGCGTACACATAAAAGATCCCTTGGCAGTTGGAATTCGATATAAGAGCAGACCGTATCGACGCTGTCCGGACAAAATTTCCCTCATAGCACACTTCCTGGCGTATGCCCGTCTTCATTAGCCCAGTCGAAGAAGAACACTATGTCGTATGTCATTAAACCCCATTTCATTTCATTTCTTACGGAATGGATGCTAACAAAAAAATGGATCGAACTAATTGTTCCAAAAAAAAAATTTATTTCAATATCACCAAAATAATGTCTAAATATTATATTGCAAATATATAAAATCATGTTATAAAAATGGAACACCTAAATAGAACAGTTTTTTTTTTGTTTTTTTTTGGGGGGGGGGGGCGATGTATTTCCTGAATAAATTAGATAAATTGCCTATCAATGGATTTAATTGATTAAAATAGTCATGGACCATATATATACAATAATAGTTAATATTTACAATGATTTACATATTATATAAGTTTATTTGTTTATTTTTCTATTCCATCAATAATACGTGATGTCTGTAAGTTTATTTATGGCTATGGTTATGTCATTTCTTAAATCTAACATAACGGATCAATTGTGCATGGTTTTCCTTATTCACTATGTTCAATATGTTTTGATACAAAATACACCGGTATAAAAATCACATATCTTTAAAACAACTTTTCTTTTTTCTAATATAATATATCCAAACAAACATACATATAGGTATATTATAAAGTTTATGATCCGTTAAAATTATTTTTGTTTTGTAATTTACTATTTAAATGTGATAGAGAAGGTAACCTGTTGCTTTTACCAGTGTAAGGTCGTTTTAATTGTTTAGTTGTTGGAGGACGTGGTTCATACATTCTTGGTAAGGCTTGTGTTGCTTTCATACGACTTGGTAAAACGGGTGCTTTTATTTTCTTCGTTAACTTAATACCCTCTTTATCAGTATTTTTAGGTTTAATGGACTTAATCTTTGGCAGGGTCTGGTTATTATTTTTAGATGATGACTTGATGTTTGGACAGTTAGAACAGTTGTCTCCAGTAGTAGTTTGATCTTTTGTCTGAGGAAGTAATTTAACTAATCTAGATTTATCCTTGTTTTCTTTAGAAGACGGTTTAGGTGAATCGGCAGCGTAAGATCCGGTGGATTTGATCGTTACCATAGTGGAAGCATAACTGTTTATTTTAGACGTGCCATGATTTGAAGAAGATCTTTGTTTTGGTTTTCTACTGCCTGTGTTCTGGGGAGTGGATGGATTGTTAGAAATTCTTCCTATTGGTGGAAGTGTTTTATATTTTCCTAGACTACATTTTGTATTTTCCTCTATCGATGAAATATTATTAATTATATTTTTTCCTTCCAAGGCGGAGGCATCTTCTGCTGAATCTTCCATAAAGTTCCCAAGTTTTTCTATCTCAGATAACATTGGTGGCAGTTTGTTATATCTTCCTAGGCTGTCTTCACAATACAATGATTCCTTTATTGATGGCATATTTTTAATGGCTGCTTCATATTTTGTTGTATCTTCAATAAGACTCTCTAGTTTTTCAACCTCTTTTAAAATTCGTTTAACATCCCTACCTAGTGCATCGACGTCAAGGCGGACGGACTCATCGCTGCCAGGCGATATCACTTCATGTGTTCTCTGAGCTTCTTTTTCAATATTAGAATTCGCTTCTTCTGGAGTAGTGTCATAAGAGACAACTGTATTCTTTTCTTGTTTTATATAACCTGGTTTTAAGATTTGGGAAGTCAAATATCCATCCGCGATGTTATATGAATGCATATCGTTGTCTATCATATTATATACAGAATTTGTTTCCATACTGGCGCGCCTTTTAGGTTTGGTTTTATTCTTTTTGACCGTGTCTAATGGTTTAGGCTCGGTATCTTTGCTGTTGATGTCCGATGATTTAGGGTCGCTATCTTTCCCGTGGATATTTTCTGTTATATCCAATATTTTAGGCTCTCTATCTTTGATGTTGATGTTATCTACTATGTCCAATATTTTAGGCTCGTTATCTTTGCCATTGATGCTATCTACTATGTCCAATGGTTTGTGATCGTTATCTTTGCGGTTGTTGTTTTCTACTATATCTAATATTTTAAGTTCTGTATCTTTGATATTGATGGTATCTACGATGCCATTATTCACTCCATCGCACAATGCGATACTTGGTTTCTCCCTGCATATTTTCTCCTTAGTTTTGGTTTTATTCTTTTTGACCATGTCCCTTGTTTTAGGCCCGTTATCTCTGCTGTTGTTGTTTTCTACCATGTCCAATATTTTAGGCCCGTTATCTTTCCCATTGATGTTATCTACCACACCTTTGCCCACTTCTTCATTTAATTTGATACTTGGTTTGTCCTCGTTAACGGCCGTACACTCTTTCAAATATCTTTTATGAACGTCCATAGTGTAGAATAGTGTCTCCTTATCAGAAACCTTCTTCATGCTGCTGTTGCCATCTTTCTTGCTCTCGTCATTGGTGTTCCGTTTTATATTTCTATCCAAATCTTTACAACTTTCACGCTTCTCCATTTCCCTGGTTTTGTGATCAGTTTTAATCCACGGTCTTCCTCTCTGTGGTCCACTCTTATCATTTTGATCATCAGATTGGGGTCGTGTTATGGCCTCCAGTCGTTTGTCTACCTGCGCCTTTACAGCAGGATCTAACAATGGACTACCAACATGTACCTTCTTCCCATAACAAAACTTAACTCTTTTCTCGGTCTTCAGATCTTGAACTGTTATGAATCCGTTTTCGCCTGTATATTTGGAACATTCCAAGATTTTCCTGAAGAATTGAGCTTCTTTACCAGATTTCTCTAAACTACCCTGTAGAATTCCATTTCTCTTCATGCAATCGTCGTATTTTGAATGAAGGTTGTTGTTGTCCCTGGAAGATTGAATGACGAGATGTATTATAACTACTATGGGATATTAGTGGGCAGAATTCACTTATTAATTATTATGGAATTCTTCAGTTTCTTTTACTCTAAAATTAAATGAAACTAGGTCATTTCGGGACTAACACTTTAATGTATTGGTTTTGAACAGGGTGGGGTGGGGAGCACATAAAATTCGACAAAATAAGGAATTAATCACTCTAAAATGTATTTATTAATTTTAAAATATTTGGAGGGGTGCTGGGCTTTAACAGTGGGGGGGGGGGGCATATAGAATTATATGTTATGGAATTCTTCAATCTAAACTTGAAAGAAATCTAATTCAACTTTTGATTTTACTAAAATATCTGTCTTTCGACCTCGAGATCCTGCGATCCTGTGTTACTTTCTTGAGATCTCAATTTAATGTTCTCGAAATCCCCTAATAATTTTCTCGAGAATCTCCCATCCCGTGTTAAAGATATCGAGAATTCGAGTTAATGTTCTCGAGATCTTGCCATCCTGTGTAAATTTTCTCGAGATCTCGGGTAGTTTTATGTATGCGCGAAGTTTTAACGTATTCTCAGCACCCCACAACCTGTCGTTTCGACGTTACCCCTCCCCCCCCCCCCCACACACACTTTCCTGAAAACCTTAATAGCACGATAGAGCCTACAGTTTTTAACAGATTTTGTTTTTCAAAGGTGGTGTAAAGCACTAGGACCTTTCGATTTTCAGTACTCCGCAAAATTCTGTTCGAAGTTTACCCTCTTTGTCCGTATTTGTTTTTCCAAAACGATGAGAGGACGAACTCTATCGATATTCAGCATTCTGTGACCTTCTGTTCCTTATTATACCCCCCTCCCTCCGCCCGCTCCCTGAACGCCTTGTTCACGCCATAGAGGCTTCACGTTTACATTGTGTGAAGCTTTGGAGTTATACTCTCCATTCTTTGAAAACCTTGTTTTTAACGGATTTTCAATATTCAGTGTTCCGCGA